AGAAGACTGTAAATTAGTTAATGTCGACCTTGCCCAGCCGCTCTGTGAGCTCGTCCAATGCATCAGTGGCTGCAGCAACTTTCGGCTCGTCGTCTTCTTCCTCTTCCTCGTCGTTGATGACGACCTTGCCGCCCCTCCGCTTGAGGTGCGTCGAAAGTGTCTGTAGATGCTCGTCGTCGTCATCCATCTCGTTCCACTGAACCTCCAACAGCTTGAGCTCGGGCATCTTGGCGATGCCGCTAGCAAGCGCCAGAAAGCTATCCGTCTCGAGATTGTTGTTTTGTATTTGCAGAGTGTGGAGTTTGGGGTTGGACCCGCCGGCAAGCACCGTGATGATTGTAGGTACCTCTCCGTCACTGGCAAGGACGCAGTCGGACAAGTTGAGGGCGGTCAGCTCTGGCCACTGCTTGAGTGCATCTGTCCAGGCCTTGACGCCAGCGAGCTCCCCGTCCGCGATGAACGCGTTATCTTGCAAATCGATCTCGCGCATATCAGAATTTTTTGCGAGTCCAAGTGCTAGCGCGGTGATCCCGTCCATTCGAATACCGTTTTGCGGCATGCGGATCTCCTGGAGGGTTCCGTGTGCTGCAAACGCCTCCGCCCAAGCAGATGCAGAGCCGTCCTCGAGACGGTTCCGACCGCAGATGACGGTGCGCAGGTTGGATTTCTTGCCCTCGGCCTGGCTGAGTTTGGCTGACTCAAGGAGCGCGTTGGCGAGTACGACTCCACCTGCGGGACCGAGGCCGTTGTTGTTCAGCTTGAGCACTTGGAAGGAACGATTATGGGTGAGGAAGGGGACCATGGGCTCGACGGAACGGCCACCGAATGCATTATCGCTGAGGTTTATTTCGATGAGGGATGTCTTGTCCTTGAGGGCGTCGCAGATGGCTGTGAGCGCTAACGGAATCTCAGAGATGAGGCGGCCGGTGAATATGTCGGCGAAATCTGCGATCTTGGAGGGCGTGAGGAGGGCGAAGATGGTGGCATAGGATGGACCTTGAGGTTGTTGGCCTTTTGCAGGAATTCTGCAAGGGCAAGCGACGCGTCGACCCCAATTGTGTTGCCACCAAAATGGATCTCCTCGATTTCGGCTGGGTCGACCTTTGCGAGATAGGGCTCGATGTCCGCGCGGGTATCGAGTTTCAAGCTTCGCCCGTGGAGACTGAACACTTTCAAGTTGGACATTGCGGTCGCTCCGGTCAAAGTCTTTACGAACCGTCACGCAGCCCAACTCTATGCGGACTTCCATCTTGAATTTCGTCGCTGGCGCTTCCCGCTAATCTACTGTATCTCAAGATAGTCTTTCGGGGAAAGCAAACACTAGTGCAGGACAAAGAGTTGAACCAGCTTCTATCTCACACATTCCTCGCGTCTTTCGGACCCTTCGCCTTACTTTTCTCAACGTCGTATTGAAATGACGCAGATCTCCCTCAACTATCGCAGAAACATCTGGACGGAATCAAGAATCCACCCACTTCCGCCTTCTGAGCCTACATATTCAGAGATTGTCGCCTCTGCATTCGAACGACCTCGAGACGATTGAAGACGACGCGCAGGATTCGGTCATGATTATTCCTCACTGGCAGGCAACCTCTGCACTCGTACAACATCAAGGTCCCAGCAACAACAACGCCACCTGAGTACAACAACTGCCCAATGAGCGGTTCGTCGCTTCTGCTCTCCTCCGATAATCTTGACATAGAGTTCGGCCCAGTCTAACGGCACGATACCACGGACGATACAGCGAAGTTCTGGGTTTTACCTCGATGGTGGTATCTGCGATACCTCAATGCTGGTATCTGCGAGGTCCCGAACGCCAATACTGTTCCATTGTCGTCGGCGAGTTCTGCACCTCCTTCAACGACCCGATTCGTCACACGAGCAACCCACCCGTGCTCCAAGTCGGTAACCCGGGCGAGAAGGGTGGGGTTGAGACCTCAGACATTGTCGAAGGCTCCGCAGCGCGCGACTGAGTGGAACACTATTGACGATGCAGTGGTTCATAATTCTAATTAGGCAGCAGTCGACTCTCCTACACACTTCTTCATACTTTTGACTTTATACATTTGCACTCGTGCTTCCGCCAATCAAGAACGACAATATGTTGCCCTCGGCCTGACCTGGCGCTCCTCCAGGTTGAGGAAACGGATCGTGCGGGACGGAGAATGGGGTGCCGTTTCAGGTTGTCGTCCAAGTCGACGAACTTGTCCAGTAGCACGGTGTAACCAAGAATCTATGCGCATAGCAGCTCAAGATGACAAGATGGAACTGCGCACCAATCAGCCATAGCTCCGAGTACTACAGGGAATAGACATACAATGCACTGCGTTGACGATACAAGCCTCAACCACCGAGCGAACGAGACAAGTTTTCCCAGAACTAAAACCAAAATGAGTGTAAACCTGGTACGAGACAGATGTAATACCATTTTTTCTGCGGGTCTGGACTGAACTTCCTGATAGTGGAGATCGAAGACCTTGTCGTTGACAGCCCCATACTTGGTCACGTAGGTGAGCAGACAGAGGTTTCTACCAAATGATATCTGACATGGTCCATAGATCTCAACGACATTGACTCACCGAGGGCAAAATATATTCAGACCAGAACGAACGGGGATAGCAAACTCAGTGTCGTGTTCTGAAGGGACGAATTCGAGGACAGGTCGTTCAGTTTGGCAAGAAAATCACCAGAGGTGGAATACTTCTCACCGTAGGCGGCCGAGGTAGCGGCAGTGGGACCCAGTAGCGACTGCGCCTCCCAATCAAGAAAGTTTTCCGGGGTAACATTAATGAACCTCCAGCAGACTTAGCGCAAGCACGAAGGTCAAGGAATGGAAGCGGACTCGTTGATCTGGAGCTCGGGCAAGAACATCTCCTGCCGGAGGTGTCTGTTACGGTCTAGCTGCTTCTCGATGTCGGCTTCGATGGCCTTTTGCTTTTCGGTGAGGAGGGCGATTTCGGCTTGGAGCTGATGGATAAGGTGGAAGTTCGCCTCTACGAGTTCCTGTCCACCACTTTTTGAACAATGCTGGTGGTCATTGGTTAGACAGAGTATCGCGCAAGGAGCTGTTATAAGACCTCTATGACGGCGGGCAACGAGTGCAATGGCGGGGACGCTGGCCGCTGCCAATGCGCACCCTTGGGGGAGCGTTCAACGCGTGACCACAGCGCCGGGTCCGAGGACGGTGAGTGCACGCGCTTGCGAGGGGGAGGCCTAGGGGGAGGCGAGGGCGTCGATTGAGTCGAAGGCAGATCCCATGGCCCAGTTACTATTCGTGCCTTCATCGGTGAAGAAGGAAGAAGAGTATAAAAACTCTAATCAGGCAGCTACTAGTACACCTGACACTTTAGCTTTAACACTCCTGCTTCGACAGCCTTGGTCCATAGTGCAATAAGATTTTTGGCGCTCGAGATATTCTATCAGTTATTCATAGGGTATATATGACCTTAACGCAAATCCAGCAAGACTGCGAGCGTAACTTACGCGTTGTCGAGCTTCCTCTGCTTCTCCAGAAACTCCCCTCCAACATCCTCCTGCTCTTCGTCAATCTTGTCCCGCAAATGCCGATGGAACTCGGAGCCCGAACAAAGTTCGAATTCTAGTCGCACAGTGAACAAGGGTGCAGTGTGAGAGCTGGATCCATGTCGTATTCGAGCGAGAAAAAGGAATAGAATAGAGTTAGCAGGAGGCGGGGAAGAGTCCAGGGACGGCGCAGAGTGCATTGGCATAGCGGGTCATGGTGGATGGCTTCATTTGGCGGTGTAAGCGAGCTGGCCAGAGGACGGCGGATATACGAGGCGTGTTTTCTCCAACAGCTCGTTAGCTGCATGCGGAACGCTCAACAGTACAGAGCTCACCTGGAAAATACGGATAGCACGATGTGTGTCGCGCGGCGCCGGCGGTGATTTTTTTGGTTCGTTCACATCCTTTGGTTGTATACCCTTTCGCAACTGGCCACGGCCGTTTCCACTGCGTCACCCACCCTCGGTCGTTCCCAGGACCGATTTTGTCGATGACTTGCGCGCTCGCCTTGGTGAGTTATCCGCGTCTCGTCGCAGTTCGAGTTCGAGTTCTCTTGAATGTTGGTGCAGATGGATTCGTTTGGCAGTGCGCGGGTAGATGGCGGGAATGCGAGAAGGATTTTTACAGGGTGCGTATGTCTTCCCAAAATGCTTGGAGGTCGTCCTGCACTAGTTCTGGAAGCCGAAAGGTCAGATTTCTTTGGATTGGTGAGAACATTCACTCACCAGCCTTTCCTGCAGATACAGCTTCAGGAAGCGCGCTACGGCGCTCGGAGCTCGTCCCATCGTGGCCGACGATGCGTCTACGAGGTTTGGAATCGTCCTACACGGCCTGGGTGGAAATTGAGGTGGGTTTTCTGTGCTCGTTTCGCAGAAATGGCAGACCTTGATTCGTGGTTGCAGATGTGGGAGAGCGGGCTTCCAAGATCGCAGAACGGCGGTGGGAGGCAGTAGGAGGGCACCCTGGGCAAGAGGAACGTGGCCGCTGAAGTCGTCTGGAGTATTCCAGCGCGCTAGCGGAGGTCAGTTTGGCTTTATACACTGAAAGATGATACACCTTGTCATTCACAGCGAAAATACAGAGGGTTTACAGCGCTCGGAGGGCGTCCATCGGGAGAAGAACGTTGCGGGTAGCCCGTTTGGGGTCGTCTGGCACGATTGTGCTGCAAAAAAAACGAACTATTGAAGTCTTGGGACGAGACCGAACGGTTGCGAGAGGTTAGATTTGAACGTTGGACGGCACAACGGCTTGCTTTTGACCACAAACACAGCAAGCCATGACTGCAGTCAAGTGAGAACGAGTTGGGAACCAAAGGGAGCTAGAAGCGTTTGACAGTCCATCACAAAATCCAAATCAGGTTGACAGCGACAGCGGGAGTCAAAAAATGCTGATTCCAGCGTGACTCATCGTGCGTGGCTTCAAAAAACATAAGATTGGCGCGTTGAAAAGTTGCTTTCCCCCCCAGAAAAACAGAGCAAAACCCCTCGCGAGACTCGAACTCGCAGCCTCCAGATAGCGTGGGAAAATTTAGAAGTCTGGCGTCATAACCATTAGACGAGAGGGGCATTAATTCTTGCATCTGGGCCACTACAAGGTCGGCATGAAAGAGGGCTTTCGAACGCAGTGGTTTTCGTCCCCATTGAAGCTCTGGACGCTGAGATATTATGGAATCAGTGTTTTGTGATGGCTGTGATGGCCTGACATACTGTCAGATCACTATCATTCAGAAGTTGATCTGTGATGGCGGGTGCAGTGTGACTCTCCGTTCACTTTTCGGCAACGAACGCAACAAGAACAGTGTCGTGACTGCCAACAACCTCGTTTGCCACAACCATGTCGGCGGAAAAAGCCGTGGCCAGATTACGGTGCGCGCTCCCAGCCATCCATATATGTCGACTGGGTCGCAGTTCCTTCCCTGAGATCCTCCCTTTGGACCAACCCCCGCCAATTATCGATACACCGCGTGCCACCGATGGCGTTCGCACACCACCGTATATTCTGGGGTGCTAGTGCCCAAGAATCACTTGTGGTCTCTCAAGTTCAATGGGCGTGAACGCCACTACGCTACATCTACTTTTATGGAAAGCGTTATTCTTCCGCTCTTCAAAGCGGCCTTCCCGTCTGTCCCTTTCACTTCTCGCGGATTTATAGCATGCACATCTAACAATCACCAACAGGGATGCCGACAACTACCCGAGAGGTTTTCCTGGGATGTGCGAACAAATCGTATACCTGACCATGAACACACCGACCCGAGTTTTGTGCAATTCGTGATGGAGACGTTGAAGCTCCCGAACCCACCCATGTGGTACCGAGCTCCTTGGAAGAAAGCCATGATGCCGTTGTACGAGCGGTTCTGGCCGAACGCGCGCGAAATCGAGTACGAGCAGGAGTCGGATGTGTTCGAGCTGGGTGCATCAGACTCGGACTCAGGCTCAGACTCAGACTCAGACTCGAATTCGGACTCGGACTCTGCTGCCAGTGAAAAAATCGAGACGCCGGCAATCCCTTCAAGTGTCTGAGTCTCCTTGACATAGTAGGTCTACTATTCCGACCGGTCCTCACGCGTCTTTCCGAACGTACGTCGAATAGCGGTCATATTTCATTCATCTGCCTCAATGAGATTTTTCTATCTCTCGAACTTGAACCGTGACTTTGACACGATATAGAAGAATGCTCAGATGACCGATATGCTTGCCTTCGTTCGGCGTCCCGACGCTGACCCGTGGCCTATCACAATACAGCGCCTTCTACTCGCTTTGAATAGACACGCCTATAAGAGAGGCCAAGGAAGAATTGCACGCGCGAATGGCGTGCACATTTATCTCTCTGCTGCTCTTCTTTTCAGCCCTCTTCGCCGTTGTGCGTGGAGCGCCTCTTCCCGCTTCCCAGCCTCAGCAACGCGACGATGACGCCCCCGCTCGGGTTCCTTATGTCTTTCCTCCTCCAGGAACAGATCCAGTATGCTCGAAATACTGAATGCTCCACAATTTCGCTCTCAAGTCGCATAGATCGCGGACGCCATACGGGCTCGACGTACGAATGGGACGTTACTTGCGCTGGACGGGGCCTTGTGAGTATTTTTTTTCCACTCATATAGATCATTTGCTGAAAAAAAAAATCTCAGGCTGAATGCCCCGTTATACGCTCAAGCTTGGAATGATTTGTTCACCGTTGTTCGCGAGAATAATAGTCCGCATAGTCTTCCTTTCCACCTGCATGCTGACGCCCTTCATAGCTATCCCGGGAACCATGCGAGAGCTCATTGTGAGATTTCACCATCAATACAGTCAAACAGCGATGACGACGAGCGGTGCAGATTCTCCGAACGGCAGTCGTCAACAATGCAGCATACGAATGGTAGGTCTAGTCAAATTTCGCTCACTTTGGGCCCACTCGCGCTAGGTTCGAACATGAACCCGTCGCCCGCATGGAAGGTCTGACGACAGAGCAACTGCGCGTTATCCGGTTTGCTCCAGTAGAGGGCACGATCACGGCAAACGACAAAGCCGTACTCGGCGACGAGCTAGCTGCAGCGCTCGAGTTCACGGATGTCATTGGCAAAGCGGTTCACGTTCCAACGAGCGTATACAACAACCTCGCGCGGTTCTTGAACACACAGCAGATAGTGGAAGCTGTTGGTACAGCGGGAAGCTACGCCCTTGTGAGCCGATTCACGGTCGCGCTGGATGTAGACGGCAAAATGAGTGCTCCGGTACCCGTGCCGATGTAACATCTTTTCTTCCGAATGTTGATCTCCGTGCTTCGGGATGCGCTCTTTCGCATCTGCAGACCATATGCTTCGCGCGGAGATATAAAATTTCATCCTCAGTGGCGACTATAAAGCGTGCTGTCGCGATCGGCTATCGACACGTGTAATAAACATGGCGGCTCGCAACCTCGTCTCTCTTTTCCTCGCTGCCCTAGGCCTTTTCTTCTCACTTCAAGTCGCACAAGCCAGGCTGGCGGTCGATGCGGAGTTGCACCGACGCGATTCTTACGACCCGGCGCGTATTCCCTACGTCTTTCCGGCACCTGGAGAGAGCGCGGTATGCACAATTCTTGAACAGCAATTATAATTATTGACTGGAGGGCAGATTGCAGATGCCCTGAGGTCGCGACGCCCCAATAACACCTTGCTCGCACTCGACGGGGTATTGTTGAACGCTCCTGTACTTGCTCAAGGTTGGAACGATCTGTTCACTGTTATTCGTGAAAACACCAGTGCGTTGCGGTTTTCAAGTTCGAGTCCTCTTACCTGAATCTAAATTTTTTAGCGATCCCTGGCACCATGAGGGAATTGCTCGTGCGTTTTCTCTTGCTCTTCAACCGCTCGGCGTTATATTCGTTTTAGATCCTACGCACCGCCGTCCTCAACAACGCTGCGTACCAATGGTACATCCCTTCGTTTCCCTTGTTGCATCTCTAATAACACCTCGTAATCAGGATCCAACACGAACCAGTCGGCCGCTCCGAGGGCCTCACCACACAACAGCTCCGCGTCCTGCGCTTCGCGTCCGAGAGCTCCCTCACCCACTCGGAAAAAAGGATCCTCGGCGACGAGCTCTCAGCTGCCGTGGAACTCGCCGACGCCATGGCCCTGACGGTCTACGTCCCTAGCACCGTCTACGCAAATCTCGCGCGGTACCTCAACGCGGAGCAGATGCTGGAGGCTGTTTCGACGGCAGGGAGCTATGCGTTTGTGAGCAGGCTGTTGATGGCAATGAATGTGGATGGCAAGATGAAGATGGAGGTGCCGATTCCGGAGTAGTGTCTGTTATGTTGAAGTGTGACTAAAAGTACTCGCACTTGATCTCAGCCAGCCATGTCCCTTCGCGCGCAAATCTCAACCATCGAACAAGAGATACTGGACGACGAGATCCGTCTAGATGCATTACGCCGGCGTCTACACGCCCTCCGGCAACAAGCCGTCTTCCCCATCGTCTCACTACCGGTCGAAGTCACCACCGAAATCTTCTCCCACTGCGCTGCATCGTTCCCCACCACAGCAGCGCTGCTCCTTTCGCGCGTCTGCAGAGCGTGGCGGGAGATCGCGCTCGCCCTTCCCCCGCTGTGGACGACGTTTTGCGTCACTTGGGACCGCCACGGCACGGACAGTCTGGTGGAATTTTTGGAAACCTGCATGGAACGCGCAGGCGATGACACCCCGCTCAGTGTCAACATCTATTTCCAACACGCGCTCGTCGATGCTGTGAAGATTACGCGCTTCATGGCGGCTTTGCAAGTATATTCTTCCCGCATACGTGCGATGAAAGTCCAGGTGTCCGGGGATTTCTGGACTGCACTCGATGGGATCGTGGAGCAGAAACTGCCCGATGCATTCGACTTGGCGGCCCTGGAAGAGCTGGAGTATATCCTTACGGGCGAACATTGGGACATCCCACTTGTTTCGCTGTTCAGATCCGCAACAAAACTAACGAATGTTCGTCTTCGACGACTGCCACCGTCCGTTATCGACTTTTCCTGGCCCGCCGTTGCAGAATTTATAGCACAAGACATGGCATTGCTGCAGTGTCTGGACGCGCTGCAGCAAGCACCCAATATGCGGCAGTGTACTCTTCGCGATCTCATCTACGATCCAGCGGGGAGTGCGGGCCACACCCAGATGTCCCTCGGGGCCCTCTTCATGCAGCCTCTCGTCCACCACACACTGGCGCATCTCACTCTTGTCGGCGGGGATGCCGTACCCCTGCTGCGATATGTCTCCCTCCCTGCTTTGGAGACACTCGAGATTCGTTTTTGGGACGTCGTGCACAGACAAGACCGTCTCCTCGACGATTTTCTCTGTCGTTCGCTTCCGCCGCTTCGACAACTCGTCCTCCGGCCCGTGGACTTGGACTTGGACTCCTCCGAGTCCGACTCGGATGCGCTCACGGGCTCGATAGATCTAGAGCTCAGCCCGACCTTCCGCGCGCTCCCCCTCATCTCCCTCCGCATCTGGCGCCCCTCGTCCGTCCTCGCCGACGAACTCTGCAGCATGCTCGACGACCCGTCCTTCCTTCCCGCGCTTCGCGAACTGGGCCTGTACAATTGCGCATGCCGCAACATCACGGACAATGCGGGTGCCAGTGTGTCGGAGATCGTCGCTGCCGCGGGGATACCGCTTGAGAAACGCTTCGATTTGGACTCTTCGGCGGCGGACCTGGAATCATTCAAGTTCAGCGTCGTTGCGGGCCCACCGTACCCGGCATATACGAGATCGAGCCAGGAGGACCTGGCGCCGTTTGAGCGATTGCGCGATAAGGGAATGCGGATTGAGATTTGGGAGGGACCGGATGTGGATGGTGCGCGAATGGACCCGTTGGGAATTTAAACGAAGACGGTGCTGTAATAGGTAGTAGATCGCCGCTCGATGTGTATGTACTTTTCTACAGGTAATCAACAAACGCCAAATTTCCAGCCGCAAAGGAGAACATATACGCGACGACTCTTTATCTTACTTCAAATACAAGCGACTCCAAACACAACGCTCATCGGAAGACCACACACAATTTTTTGCCAATCATCGATATCATTTTGTCATTTCACGCTTCTCCAGAGAAAC